AAAGAAGGACCTTGCCACAGAGCCTATTAGAAAAACTCCTTCAGAAAGTGCAATACCCAGTCTCTGTTGCCTCACACTCTCCAACTTCTGACTCCTGGCTAAGAAAATATTAACAGGTATTGAGTCATTCTATTGAAATTCCTAAGTCTAAAAGTACAAGCCCCAAGATACACTTGACACACCCAGTTCACAAAGGTTACAGTATAGATGAGAAACACTGCAGGAACATGATACCAAGTAAAGCAGTAGTTCCTGACGCGGAAAGGAGGAAAGTAAAAAACAGCTCCTTCTACAGTTCTGGATGATTACCACCCATGCCACATACTATAGGGCTGGCCCTTAATGCGCAAAGCATGCTGGATACATCTAACATCTTTATTTTTGCCTTCTTGACTATACTTCATTGATGTAATAACAACATAATTATAATGCCACCAGGATATTCCCAATTATCTTTTTTCCTGCAAAATACACCTTATTTCATTTAATCTCACAACTCCTGGTTTACAGATGAAACCCAAAAGACTTGTCTGAGGCCACACAAGGAATGCAGAAAACAATGAAGATGCAAATCATGGAAGTTACATATTAGCCTCAAATTGAGGAACAGCAGGAGGATACCCAATAGCCCCACATGGTCAGGAGGAAAATCAGTTGGCATAAGGGTAGTGGCACCTCTATCCTTCAAGTCCTTTGAGAGGGAATGAGTTCCTGGAAGAAGGATGGGAAGTTTGACCCACACAAAATTGTGCAATGAGCTAAGTTTGTCTCTGACACCCCAGATGTTCTTCTTTCCCCTTCCGTGGCACTTGCTCAATCTTCTCTCAGCTGGTCAGTGCTCTGGTGCTCCCCAAACCCATCAAACTCTTAAGAGCTACTCTTAGCTCCTTAGTGGTGAATCTAAATGACTGTGTTCTTTCTCCCAGAGTTTCTAATATTTTAGATCTCATCTTTCCTTATGGAAGGAAAGTCCTCATCCCACCAGGGCCATTACAGGCAGCTGGTAAATGGGGAGTCACCAAGGGGAAAGAGGTAGGTGTTCCTTGCACCTTTTCCTGGGCTTCCTAAAATACCTATGTGTATTTGAGAACCTATCCTTCCATTTATTGAGCACCTACTATGTGCTATGAACTGTGCTAAGAATTCTAATTCACTACCTAATTGAATTCTCAATAATCCTGCTAGCAAACTGTTATTATTCCCATTTTATAGCTGAGGAAATAAAAGCCCAAGAAGTTAAGTCAATACTACTGCAAGGTCACAGTACCAACTAGTGGCTCTCAACTGAGGTGTTTTAACCTCTGGCCAACATGGCCTCTACAGATATAACAGAACATTACAAATAGTCCCAGAGGGAAAACACTATAGCCTACCATTCATGAGAAATAAAACCATCCCTCTCCAACTGAGATATGGATAAATAATGGGTACGCTAATAGAGTCAGTATTCCATTATCCACGTGACATAACTTTATTCATATTTGACTCTGAAATGCCTATTGGTACTTATATTATATACCTTCCCCCTACCTGTAAACTACATATTTTTGTTTGTTTGTTTGTTTGCGGCTGGCCACTACAGGGATCTGTGACATTGGTGTTATAAGGCTGTGCTCTAACCAACTGAGCTAACTGGCCAGCCCTGTAAACTATACTGTAAATATCCCAGCTCCCCAGGTGCCTCAGCCTCAGTCCCTAATGCAGTGGCTGTCCCACCAGCAAATTCATCAACTTTATCCCAGTTGAGGACTCTGAATTGAACTTTCTTCACTGAGGAGCTAGAGATAAAATGCAACTGCCCCTCCCACCAAAGTAACAACTATATACCCTCAAGGGTCTGACACCAATAGGAAGATATTTCAACACCTAGAAGCTAATCAACATGGCTCAAAAGGTTTGTGGCAACACAGCCCCACAACTGGCTATTTCTTAGGAAAGATGTACAAATGCACATTTTGATCAGCCAGATGGCAACATATATGGAAAACACCAAAAAAACAGGATTGAAGTTTTGAGTCAAATCTGCATCTTTAAGAGGCATTTATTGAATATCTACCATGTGCCAGGTATTCTGTGCATATTACCATGAATCTTACCATAGCCTTTTGGGTATACATTATCATTCTTATCTATAGTTAAGAAAATAGTCTCGGAGAGGTTAAATAACTTGCCGCAGTCAAATGGCTAATAAATGGCAAATTCAGAATTTGAATTCATGTCTGTCTGGTTCCTGTTCTTGAGCTTCCTCCATTGCACCAGGCTGTTACAATGTGATTCCTTAAATGACTTATTCTCCTACATTCATTTTAGAATATTTCTTTATTCTACTCTAAGGAGAAATCCTTAGTACAAATAAAAAATAACTGATATGGATTGTGTCCTCCAAGTTTTATGTATTAGTAACTTGATCCCCACTGTGACTGTTAAGAGGATGGGAAATCCTATTATGGTAATTGCAAGGTGAGGCCCTGAAGAGGTGATTAGATTCTGAGGACCATGCCTAGTGAATGGATTAAAAATGGTGGTCATGAGCATGGTTCTGAGGGCTTTAAAAGGAGAGCACATGAGAAGCTATCTCTCTCTCCGCTCTGTCATTTTCTGCCATGTGAGACCCCTGCATTGCCTTAAAGCCACCACCAAAGAAAACCATCATCAGATGTGTTCCCTGGACTTTGGATTTCCCAGCCTCTAAAACTGTAAGCAATAAATTTTGTCTTCTTACAAATTATCCAGTTCCATGTATTTTGTCACAAGCAACAGAAATGGACTAATACAGAAAATTGGGGTCAGAGAAGTGGGGTGTTGCTTATGACAAATACTTGAAAATATGGAAGTGGCTTTGGAAATGGGTGTTAAGGAAAGCGTGGAATAATTTGAAGGAGCAAGCTAGAAAAAGCCTAGCTGCTAGTAGGAGTTTAGAAGACAAGAAAACCAGGGATAATTTGGAACTTCTTAGAAATTGGTTAAATGATGGTGAGCAGAATGCTGATAGAAATATAGGCAGTAAAGGTATTCTGAGAAGATCTCAGATGTAATTGAGAAGGAGCTTTTTGGAAACTGGTGCAAAGATCACCCTTGCTATGAACTGGCAAGGAACTTGGCTGCATTGTGTCCAGGTCCTAGGACTTTGTGGAAGTTGGAACTTAGAACTGTGAACCAGAGTATTTGGCAGAAGAAATTTCTAAGCGGCAAAACATTCAGGAAGCCACAGGGCTACTTGCAACAGCCTATGGTCAGTTATGGGGACAAAGGCATGATGTAAAGCCATAAGTTAAAAGGAAAGCAGAGTAAAGATTTGGAAAATTGGCAGCCTGGCCATGTTGTACAGAAGCAGACAGCATTTTCAGGAGAAAAATGCAATGGTATAATAGAAGATTGGTATGGAAGAAAGGGATTATGAACAGAAGGGAAAAAAGACCTTGAAGGCATTTCAGAGATCTTGGAAGCTGCATCTTCCATTACTGGCCCAGAAGCCTAGGGAGACAGAATGGTGTTGGGGAACAGGCCTGAGGCGCCCTCCACAAGCTCATTGCCCAGGGCCACCTTGGGAAGCTGCTTCTAGCACCAGCACCCCAGGTGCTTTGACTGCTCCAGCTGTGACTAAATTGGCCCCAGGTGTGGCTGGGCCCACAGCTTTGAAAGATAGAAGCCAGAAGCTTTGGTGGCATCCACGTGGTGTTAAGTTTGCAGGCTTGCAGAATGTCAGAGCTGTGGAGGCATAGGAGCTTCCACCCCAAATTCCAAGGAAGTATGGAAAAGGCTGGCGGACCAGGAAAAGATCTGCTGCAGGGGTGGATTCACCACACAGAGCCTTTGCCAGAGCAATGCTGAGCAGAAATGTGGGGCTGGAGGTGCAGCAGAGAAACCCCATCAGTGCCATGCCTAGTGGAGCTGTGAGAGTGGGACCACTATGAACACCCCAGACCTGTGGAGCTACCAGCATGCAATGCCAGCCTTCAAGAGCTGAGGCATGGCCTAAGACCATGAAAGCCATAGGAATGGAGCTGCCTAAGGACTTGGGGACCCAACCCAAACACCAGCGTGCAGAGGATGTCAAATATGGTGTCAAGGTACATGATTCACCAGCTTTTAGATCGAATGCCTGCTCTGCTGCTTGGGACCTGTTACCCCTTTCTTTTGGCCTATTTCTCCCTTTTCGAATGGGAATATGTACCCTATGCCTGTCCAACCATTGCATCTTGGTAGTAGATAACTTGTTTTGATTTTACAGATGGGACTTTGAGACTTTGGACTTTTGAGTTGAAACAAGTTAAGACTCTGGGGAATGAATGTATTTACCTGTAAGAAGGATATAAACTTTGGGGCCAGAGGCAGTATGATATGGACTATGTCCCGAAGTTTTATATATTAGTAGCTTGACCCTCACTGTGACTGTTAAGAGGATGGGAAATCCTATTATGGTAATTGCAAAGTGGGGCCCTGAAGAGGTGATTAGATTCTGAGGACCATGACTAGTGAATGAATTAAAAATGGTGGTCATGAGCATGGTTCTGAGGGCTTTAAAATGAGAGCACATGAGAAGCTATCTCTCTGCTCTGTCATTTTCTGCCATGTGAGACCCCTCCATTGCCTTAAAGCCACCCAAAGAAGACCCTCACCAGATTTGTTCCCTGGACTTTGGATTTCCCAGCCTCTGAAACTATAAGCAATAAATTTCGTTTTCTTTATAAATTACTCAGTTCCATGTATTTTGTTATAAGCAACAGAAATAGATTAATACAACAGCTATTGCTGGTGCTGGAAGAAATTACCACTTAACATTTTAATTTTATTTAAGATTCAGATTTGTTAAAAATTTGGAAGTTGGGGAAGAGTAACACTCAGGCTTTGTCCCCATCAGGATCCAGAATTCTCTTATACACTGTCCCCTTCCCCATGCCCATAACGCCAGTCCTGCATTTTGCCTGCCACTTTGCCCACTTAGCACACTAAACCATAATATCTACATGCTGCAGTTCTCCCCACAGGCTCAGTCTTACCTTGGGCTTGCTGGTGCTGCATCTTCTTCTGGCTCTTCGGTAACACCAGCCAGCTCTGGGGCAAGGAAAGCATCTTTGTTGACATTATTCACCCAGCTTTCCTTTGCACCATTTGCTCTTTCCTTGCTCTGCTCAGCTGAAACAGGAAACAATAAAGACAGGAAGGTTATCTCTCACCTCCATGACCTACAATTCTCTTATCTCTCTTATCACTGAAGGCTTGAAATTGGAGGCCATCCAAGTGCCAAGGTAATCACTGAGTCAAAGTACTCAGGATCAGAATTACATCTGTGAGAGAAATCAGCAGATTTCCATGACATTTAGCTCCCCCCAAGCAGAGTCTCCTGAGAACATGGGTGTACCTTTAAGTGTGCAGGTGTAATGTGTGCTAATAATTTTATGTTGCCTCGGCATCCATTTTTAAATACAAGTTTAACTTTCTCATACCAGAAGGAGAGCTCAGTCACCCTTGAGCTACCAATACTACCAATTGAGTTACCAATACTATATCCCATCAGAATGGCTCCAGCTGGTGGCCAGAGATAAAAACTTACAGGCATGTCTCCCACCTAGCAGGCTGGGCTCCCTGCTCTCCCACCACTTCCTTTCAAGAGAATATTCACACATTCGCCCACAAACTTAAAGTGACCATGCCTCAGCCACAGTGTGATCTCCTGGAACTAGTGCTCGTTTACTATCCTGTTTGGATAATGGGTCCCTTCTCTCTCTCTCCTTGCCTGTGCTCCCCAAAATGTGTGTTCAGTCTCCAGGTGTGGTGTGTAAGTACCCCCACAGTATCTGTAAGTATGGAAAAACTTTTAAACTTTCACATTGTGGTTGTGTCATTGAATTGGTGCCCACAATCTGATCCCTAACCCATGCAGATGAATCCCCTGCTAGTGTTCTTTTGTTCAGGCCTCTGGTGGCTGCTGGGGACCCTAGCTACCAGTTAAATTGGTGAAGAAACTCAGAGTTTCATTCAAAACAGGAGGTAACTCCAGAGACCGCTAAAACAAAATTCTGAACACCTCTAGGTTCGTCTGACATGAATTGGGGTCAGGACCAAATGTACACAGCCTGGGGATGCTCAGGGCAGGAAGTCCTCACCGGGACAGAAGCACCATCATTACGAGGCATTGACTGGACATCTACAACATGCCCAACATGATGCTTGGCTCTGGAATACAAAGGGGAACAAACAACTCTAGTCTAGAATGTCCCTCTCCACTGCCTCTTCCACCTCCCCCCAATCTCTACACATCCAAATTCTACATAGTCCTCAATACCCAGCTCAGATGTCAGAGCTCCCTTTTCGGGAAATAGCCTCTTTTGCCTCTGAAGACCCAGGACTCTTTCTTTACCCGAACTTCTCTGATAATATGCATCAAGTGAGTGATGACTAACTTACCAGGCACCAATGCTGAGCCCTTTGCATGCATTTTTCTATGAGGTGGGAACTATTTTCCAAGCTTACAGATTTGGAAATTGAGGATCAAAGAGTTCAAGAAACTTGCCTAAGACCACATAGCCAGTAAGTGCCAAGAATACATATATTAGTGTTAAGAAGTTGAAGCAGTACTGGGGCTCTCAAATTCCAAATACATACCAGGGTGGAATCCTCCATAGGTCCCTTTATACATAAGTCTAGTTTCTTCAACTGCAAAATGGAGTCTACAGTACTAGCCAATACCCGTCACGTTTTCTGAAGGTCTGAGTGGTTTTAAAAAGCTAGAGAGCAGCAAGCAATACATTGTACATACTATGCAGGCAGCTCTTATCTGCAAGGAGTGTGACACTGAGTCAGAAAGACTTTGAAATCCCAGCTCCGCCATTTGCCAACTATACGATCTTGAGCAAGTTACTTCTCTGAGCTTTGTATACCCCATATATAGAATGGTGAAAATAATACCTACCTTATAAGATTGTTTCTACAATTAGAAATAATAAGGAGTAGATGCCTATCATCTATTAGATGCTTAGAAGGTGATAGCTATTTTCCTTATTGATTATAGCCTATCCACAGACAAGGGCCTACACAAACTAATCCGGAGTTAGAGGGAAGGCACCCAGTAAGACTTTAATAAATGCAACAGAATTCTAAATAAGCCCTCAAAATATTGCCTTTATAGTCCCTTAAATAATGTACTTCATTGATTAAAGAAGTGTAAGATGTCAAGATCATTGAACAGGGAGGCTGATCTCTTTCTGTCTAAACCCGTTATCCATCCAAATCCAGGGCAAGAGGACTTTGAGCCTGAGGGCCACACATTAAGCAAAGCATACCTCAAAATGATTTCCCTCAGCAGATTTCAGTAAAGATTCTGATACCCTTCCCTTCTCCCAACTCCTCCTTCAAAATGCTGGCTGTAAGTATAACAACCAAATCAACTCACCTGCTACATGGAGCCTCTTCTTTCGCATGGATGCTCTGATGATATCTGCACCATGGATTTTGTCTCTGTGCCTTTTTGCCTTGGCTTCATAAAACCATTGGCCACTCATATTCTTCAGCTGCTGATCATCTTTAATTTTTTCAGGCAAATGTCTACAAAAGGAAAAGAGCTTTACTTTGCTGAGAACTCACAGTAAATAAATGAGTTCATTGTGACGCTGCATAAAAAAAATTTGTAAACATACTGCCAAAATGAAGCTCTCAAGATTTTAGAAGATCCCACAAGCCTCCCAGATGACTAACAAATGTACGTTCCCCTTTGACTACAAAGTCAGAAAAGCCAAGGCCAACATTTTTTAAAAATTCAAAGGTTCTATCCATGATCCCCAGAAGATGCCTGAAATTTCTCAAGAGCAGATTCATTTTTTGGCTGCAGTCTTCTCTGTTCTCTGTTCAAATGCAAATACCCTAGGGAGGGATGATATACTAAGCTTCCCTAAGCCTCAGTTTCCTTATGTAAAAAGGAGTTAATAATACTAACCCACTAACCCACTTCATGGAGTTGCTATGAGGATTGAATAAGCTAATGCATGTAAACAGCCCTCTCTGCACATGCCTGGCACCTCATAAACCTTCGATGAGTAACTGGTGAGGTAGTTATCAGTTCATCAGTTCTCTCTACTTCAGTGTAATGAGTTTATCAGAGACTTCCCTGGAAGCCTGTTGGGGACAGGGGAATGACGCTCCTGCTGCTTAGTGTTAGGGAAAGGAGCACAAAAAAGGCAGGCTGGAATCAGGGAAGACCAGATTTGAAGAGGCGGATGTGCAGGCAAGTTCCATTTGTGCAGATACTGCTTTTAAGCATTCCACAATCATCTATGCTCACTGAAAAGCTAAAACCTAAAGAACAAACCAAATACTGCCCTCCTAAAACTTCTCTAATTTACACTGGTTGGAAAAACACGGTTCTAATTGACAAGTCTTTTAACCTCTGCATCTCTCTCTCTATCTCAATAGAATGAGAATCCCAAACTCTATTTTTTTCTTACTCATAAAGATGTATTTAAAGTAAAGTGTAATAAAAGCCCTAAGGAAACTTTGAACTCTTGGAATATAACGTGCTACATAAATTCAAGAGGGTTTTATGATTATCATTCAAGCTAATATGCACACTTCCTAAAGCAGCAAATCTAAGTGTTTTAGCCAGAGAATGTGAATGGGCCATGGTGGTAGCAGAGCTGTGTGAGGGCTGCACACAGGTATACCTGGAAGTGGGGAAAACAGGGGCGGCAGTTACCCCAGATCTAGCAAGACTGTCTCCTTTCTTCCAAGTGTGCCTGGAAAGTATGCTTCCACCCAGACTCTGCTGGAATCTCCTCTCCTCTACCAATTACCTAAGAAGAAGTGCCCCTATCCCAAACATGTCCTGGGCACACATTGTCACAACAGCCCATCTCCAAATCCTGATAGGGACAGCATCATCACTTCATGGTTCTGAGTCACCAGAGAGATCATGGTTCCTATTAAATGTTTCCAGTGGTTTCTCATTGCTTAAGCCTTTCAGCAGAGCACACAATCCCTGCTAGGCTGCTGGTGAAGCTTTTCTTTCTCCTCCCAAAATGATCAAGTTTGAACTCAGAAGAGAGAAGTTCTTCCACATCTCCCTGGTCAGACTGTAAGCTCCTGGGGGCAGGGCCTACACTCAATACATCTTTGCTTAGTATCTGGAAAATAGTGGGTATTTAGGCAGTGCTTGCAGAGTGAAGGAATATCATTCAAGACCCTGACCACCTGGCTTCAGGTTACCTTTTTGGATTCATTTTCCAGCATTTATTCTCATACCCCACTTACCAGCATATTTGACTTCTCACTGTTCTCCAAACTGCTCTTTTGTGACCTCTGTAGACAGAGGCAGGAAGCTGTGGCAGAAAGGCTGTGGGCTTTGGAGGTTCCCAACATTAGGTCCAAATTCCAGCTCCAACCTTTTCTAGATGTGACCTTGAGCAGACTACCGAACCCCTCTAAGCTTCAGTCTCCTTGTTTGTAAAGGTAGAAAAAAATGAGACCTACCCTGCAGGATTTCTGGGATGACTAACTGAGGTTTTTACCTAAAAGTACCTAACAGAGCCTGGATCTTGGTAAGAAGCAATAAATGTGAAGTTTCTTGAGATGTCTTTCCCTCATTTCTCTGTCCAGCACGTTGCTCCTCATCCTTCAGATGCAGCTCAAGCATCAGCTCACTGGTGAAGCCTTTCCTGATTACGAGGGCACCGTTAGTTTCCTTTCCCATGCTTCTCCAGCACCTCTACTGCAGCACTTACCACACCATGTTCCAAGGATCTGTTTGCACATCTGTTTCACCCACTAATTTGTGGATTCTGCAAACTCCTTGAAGGTGAGAACTACATCTTAATCACCTTTGTAAGGCCAGCACCTAGCACAGAGCTGATACCCAACAACTGTTTGTTGAGTGAATAAATCAGTGAACAAGTAAATGCTCAGCAGCCACCCCAGTCTGAGTCAGGCACGAGATAAAGACGATCCTGTCACTGCTGAGGTTAAGTGAACCACACCCCATCACAATGGCAGTGCCTTCTCCTGATGAGGCAGGACATTCACATTTCTCACCAGAACAGGAAAAAATGTCACAAAATATGATATCAGTCAGCATTACTGCTGAAGGAGACCACAAACCCTCGTAGCATAGTAACTCCTAATTTCTCTTCGTGTTATTATTTATTTTTATTGTTCAACTGAAAGGCACTTTGCAGAGGTCTTTGCACAACTCTTGATCTGCTTCTGACTAAATGACTGTTTGTAAGACCCGGATCAATGCACAACGAGAACAGGCCATATAAGTCAGACTCACTGAAACACACAATCCCTGAAAAGGCTGGTAGCCATTATAGTAAAGAAAGGGTTTCTGGCTCATTTTTTTATGGGTTTTTTTTGTGTGTGTGTGTGGCTGGCTGGCATGGGGATCTGAGCCCTTGACCTTGGTGTTACCAGCACCATGCTCTAACCAAGTGAGCTAACCAGCCAGCCCTCATCTATTTTAAAGTGGCAAAAGAATGGTAAATTCTTTCAAATTTAATAAATACTGCTTACATTATTTCCTAACATGACTATTACTGCTGGGCTTAATTGTCAAATTCTCTTACTGCTCTAGAGCAGAAACCCTCCCCACAACTCTCCCAATAAAACAAATTCAGATTTCTTTCTCAAAAAAATCTCATATTTATGGTCAATAATGTTCTGTGCATCATATTAACATCTGTGCATAAAAAGTCATACTCGCATGCTTAAATATTGCTTATTTCATTCTTCACATATGTTCATAAAACAAGCTTACATAAGCTTTTAAATAAATGTGGTCTCAAGAACTGATTTAAAAAAAAGATCAGTTTCTCTTTTTTTACCTTAGTCACTACAATATTCTGTAGATGAATCCATGTGTGTGACATCAAAGTCCAAGTTTTGTAAAGATGTGGCAGTTTAAAAAATCCCACTATCTAGTGGTGCCATTAAAATCTCCTCTACCAGCCCATGATCTCTCATTTTTCCTCAACTCGAATTGCACCAAATTAGTATTTGATTCTCTAATTGTTAGGCCATCTAGTTGAAGTGGGAAAAGGGTAAATTTCCTGGGACTGACACTTTTTGCCCTTTACCATACTCTTTGCACATATATATGTATTTAGTAGGAAGCTGAATATAGAGAACATGCTCCATAAGCACCAGTGGGCTGGTGGACAGGAGCGAAGGCAGAAGAGCACTCAGCCCAGGGAAGACACCATCCTGGCAGCCTCCCAGGCAGAACATCCTGGTCATTCCTCCATTCCTTTTGCTAACACTTACACCGCATCTGCTTTGTACTGAACCATGCTCTTGGCCCTTAACATGCATCGCATCATTTAATCCTTACAATTTCACCATGATGTACAAAGAATTTAGTCAATCGCAAAAGATTGCCTCCTCTGTATGTTAAGGCCATATATAAACCTGTCTAGTTATTTATTCACTCACTCCTTCACTAATTCACTAAAATGTCCCAGGCATATGCTCAGAATCGTGCATAAAAAATTCAATCTACAGCACTAATTGCCAGGGTCAACTCCTGTCCACAGCACACAGAGTGTGAGCACTTGCAGAGGAGAGCCCGGGAAGCAGAGACGCCCTCAGGCTGGCTTTAACACTTTCCCTCAGCCTCCCGCTTTTTCCCCTTGCACTCACATATGTACATCCCAGCTTCCAGCTACTCAACACAATTAGTCAAAGGCCCAGCATCATAGGCAGGACCTGGTTGGTATTACCTAGTCAACTGTGGATAGTAAGGATTACTAGGCTGGCCAGAGAGGTTGATCCTCCAGCCTTTCTCTTTTTTAATCCCCCAGTATATTCTGTGCAAGATGTTTAGATTGTGTGATTTGAAAGTACTCTTAGATGTTTGCTTTGAATGTGAGAGATGGAAGGGGCCTTGGATAGTTAGAAATGGCTTCACTTTCTAGATGAAATGATTGAGGCCCACAGAAGTTAAGAGGCTTGCCCAAGGTCACATAGAGCTGGGACTGGAAGCCAGCCAAACTCTCAGCCAACTCTCTTTCCATTACCCGACTCTGCCTCAAAGAGCCAAATATAGTTTTGGTGTCTAAGATGGTGGTCACCCTTCCCTCTTTCTACTAAGGGACTCGAAGTTTGATGGAGAATCTGAAAACAAACATGTAAAAATGAAATAAACTGCAAATGTTCCTTATAGTGGAAAGTGAGAAGAAACGTGTCTCTTGTATTGTGGACACATCATAGATCCCCACAACCTGCTGAGAGAGGCAGCCCAGTGTGTGAGAAGTGCACAGGCTTTGGAGTGGGAACAGCAAGGCTCCAGTCATGCAGGGCACTTACTCTCTTCAACCCTATTTGCTCATTTGCTAAGTGAGTTCAGCTACACTGTTCTGAGGATGAAATGGGATAACGTCTGTGAAGCTCCATGTACAGTGCAGTCCCTTCACAAATGTTGGTTCCTTTCCCCTTTGCTTTGGCAGAAAACATGACCAGAGGTCCTAGAAATCAGTTCTTCAATGATAACTGCCTTCACTCAAAAAGAAACTAGGTCTTAAGGAGGCAGCTGAGAGTCATAAGATGTGGTGGCGGTTGAGATGGTATCTACTGCAAAAAATACCCATCACTGTAGATGTGGCAGTGTGTATGTGGGGGTGGGAGAGGTGGTGCTGATGTGTGCAGTGACTTCCTGCTGGCAGCATGACACAAAGACAGGAAACGCCACCTCTAGACTGTGTCATTTTCAAACCATAAAAGACTAAAATTACACATGTGTATGTATGGTGGTATTTCCTTAAAGTGGTGGGAGTGGTAAAGGAAAGGGGGAGAGGGAGAGACAGAGAGCAAGGGTGGGAGAGAGAAAAAAAAAATCCATCGTGATGTCTGCTTCACTGCTGGTCTGTGAAAGTTCTCCACCTGGGAGTTAGGGAAGCAAGCTGGGTAGAGATACAGGTTAACCGGACCCAGCACTTGTGGCTACAGGCAGAGAGGCAGCGTAAAAGACAGTTGTGGTGGCAACAGTGACCTGGAATTGTTTTCCTCTCAACTGTACCCCTGAGACACACAGTGGATATTTCCTTGAGTTCAAGTCCATGTTCAAGCATTAACAGGTTGAGTGATGTAGGAACTGGACACTTCCCCTCTTTGACACTCATTTTTCCCATCCATAAAATCAGAATGGGGATAACACATAAACTGAACCATCTCCAAAGTGTCTTGAATAAGCTTGGATGTAAACAATTCAAAGCACTGAACACACTAGGAACGGCAAACAGATTTCAATGTGAATGCTAAATCTCATCTACAGCCATACTGAAAAGGATTCTGAAGCCATGTCTGGCCTTGTGGGCCACAGTGCTATAACCCACTCATCACGTCCTCATGGCTACAGGAGGCTTATACTCCAAAGTCCACAAAGAACTGGCACTTGAAACAACAATCTGAAGTTCAACGGTAGGTTTGCTTTTCAAATGATGTTTTGCTTAAACTAATATTATAATTATATAATGTATCTATAAGCCACATACCAACTAGAAAGAGGACCAGGTCATTGTAAAATCATGTTAGGGAAACAAAATCGAGATTTTAAATTTCAAATTGGCAATACATTAAATGGATAAAGGTCATTAGATGATAGAGTCCTTGAGGGCCATGTTTTCAATCACCCTAGAATTCCCTTCACATCATTGCCTAGAGCAGTTCCTTGTAATTAATATGTGCTCAATTAAACTTCACTGCATTAAATAATTAAGAGTTTTAGATGTAATTTCCTTCTAAGGAATCAGACTACTAAACAGACTCTTCTGTACTTTTTAGAGGCAGAGGTGGAATGGTAAATAAGGGAATTAAGATGTATCCATCACCTATTATATGCTAGGAAGATTAAGAATTATTTAAGTTAATCCTGACTTTAATCTTTTGAGTTTAGTATTATGGTCATCCGCAGTCTCTGAGGCTCAAAGACGTTAAGTAATTTGTCCAATGAACCACAGTTGATTAGTGGTAGGGGTGGAATTTAAACACATGGTAATCTTGACTCCAACATCCATGCGGAGGAGCTCTTTCCCTGTGTCATGATCAAACCCTTACTGTTCCTTTCTGAGAGAAGAGTAGCAACAAGTAGCCTGGGGCAGAGAGAGCAGTACTGGACCAAGAGCTTTTCTTATCATGGCTTTGGGACTGACTAGCTGTGTGACCCTCAGAAAGTCATTTCTTCTCTCTGGGCTTTACCTTATTTATTTGTAAAATGACTGATAATGGACCAAAAAATCTCCTTTCCAAAGCTGTCAGGCTATAACTCTAATGGAAGAAGCCAACTGCTGAGGGATAGTGAAGGGGCTGATAAGCAGAAGCCCATGGAGTAGCATTTTCAGAGACCAGAGACCCAGTTCCGGTTCCACCAGCCCAGCAGCAGAACAGCCTCAAAACCACCCCCACAAGTCCCTTCAGTCCCAAAGCAAAGACGGGGTCAGAGCAACTCCGCCTCTTTCAGTGTCCACAGGCCAGGGCCCCATGCCCATCTGCCCTCCCTCTGTGCACAATGTCACTCCTCTCCTGCTCCTGGGTTCTGGAACTGCCCAAGGCCAAGTCCACATGAGGTCCTTGATGCCTAATTAGAAAGTCCCCCAGAGAAGTAGTGGTGATAGGGCTTAACTTACACCAGATTGTTCACCACCCCAAACCTTCTTCAAAGCATTTACATGCAGTCTTCAAAATCTTCAAGGATTTGTATTATCTTTTAATTTAATTTTTTCACAAACTTTTTGAAGTACCCTTATATTTACACAAGCAAAAAACAGGCGCAGCACCAACTACAGCTGCTGGGGCACTCTCAGAAACAGCAGAGGAGAATCTGCAAAACTACTATGAAGGAACTCACAGCACTTTTTCTGTAGTGCTGGAGCTTTTCTGTAGCTGTAGACTGGCTGGGGCCAGAGGAAACACACATACACCCCTCACATGGCTCAGTCCCAGGCAGAACGTTGCACTTGTGAGGATATTTTCATCAACCAACACAGTGACCAAGAAACACTTGCACTCTACTCAGACAGAATCACAGAACTACAGGGAAGACGCAGCAGCCTGGAACCCCAGGTGCCAAGAAAATATAGAGGAGAGGGAGGGAGGGTGTTGTAACCTGGCTGGCTAGAGAGGCAGAACTGCAGACCATAAGTCACACCTTGTCAGGGGGAGACTCAAAGGTACCCCCATCTCTCTAACATTCAGTCCCATGTCCTGAGGTAGGAAGAGGGGCTTGATCAGTGGAGTACCGGCTCCTCTGCTTTCTTCCCAAGTCTCTCTATATGGTCTTCTGAGAAGATAAAGGAACTCCCACTTAACACCATGCTGGAAGAATCAATTTATATTTTCTCTATGTTGTCCCCTCCCCTTATTCCTAAATGGGTGGAACAATCCCTGCCTTGCCAAATCTCAGGGTTGCTGTGAGAAACATAAGAGGATAATGTTCATGAAAGGGCTTTATAAACTGTGAATGGGTAAAGGATTAATGCCACCAAGTAGCTCCGATTGTTGTATTAGTGTCAGTCCTCCATTTCTCTTGGGGACACTGCTCAAGGCACACCACTTGCCGACAATGGAGAATGGTGCCCCGTCCAGGTGCATGGAGCACTGCAAGTGACTTGTAGGGAAAAGCATGATCCCTACCACCTACAGCCACCACCTGTCACTATCACAGCTCAGTGTCCTACCTTGCACCATGACAGCCACTCTTTCTCCATTGCCAGGTCCCAGGACGGCCTGTCTGATACTGTTTTCTCAGGGAGAGGAGGTGGAGTTGGTGAAGAGCACCTGAAGACCAGGATTTGATTCTCACCTCTGACACATATGAGTTGTGTGATCTTGGGCAGGTCACCTTACTTGTCTCAAGGTCAATTTCCTCACACATCACATAGGATAATTATATCCTACCCAACCCCCAACTGCACAACAGTATGTGGGCTCAGAAGAAATAATGGGCATGTTAAGCCCTTTGCAACTTGTTAAGCATTGTTTATATACAAGCTATCATTAGCAGCCATAATCAGACATTCTGTAGTGCTTGAAGTGAATTTTAGCATGTTCTTTTATAAAGCATCCATGTTCAACCAGGATCAAAATATGAGAAATGGTGCAAATAAATCCATTCTTCATAGTCTTTGTGTTGTAGGAAGTAAGAATATGGCTTATGCTCCATTTTGGTAATTCCTGGGATAGGGACCATAAAATGAATACCACTAACTTAGATTCAGGAAACCTTTTGCTGCCTTCAAAGCCCATGAGTACACAGTCAGTAAAAGGCAAGGCCTGGTCTAAGCCCAGTTCTTCCGCATCCTGGTCTAGTGCTCTTTCTACCACAAAGGTGAACGAAAGTGGGAGGAATGTTGACATGGAACATTTGGGTTCCGCCCAACAAGGATAGTGTGTCAAAGTTGCCACTCCTCTTTATGTGACTCAAGTCAAATGAAAAATTGGCTCAGAGAGTACTTTTAATTGTGCTATTAAAACCAATTCCAACATTTCTAAAAGTATGCAGAAATGTAAGCTACTTCTCAATCTATTTTCTTTTAGAAATTTTAAGAAATTCTAATTTGCTTCAAAACTTAGTTAAAAATAAGGTAGATTCAGTTTTTAAAAAGTGGAGTAAATACACACTCCACATATGCATATGTAGATGTATGTATGTGTTTGTATATATTTCATTTTTCACTTGGTGTTTAATAAGTTAAAAGAGTTTAGTTAAGGTTTTTAATCAAGACCTTATTTCTGGCAGGAGTCCAGTGGGATAGATTAAGAGACACCAAGGAAGAAAAAAGTTCTGTCCAGGAAGTAAACCTAAAATTGGAACCCATAAGTTAAGGCTCCAAGTCAGAACTACCACTTATGGTTGGGAAAAAAAAAAAAAAAAAGGGAACCCATAAGTTAAGGCTCCAAGTCAGAACTACCACTTATGGTTGGGAAAAAAAAAAAAAAAAAGGATCCTATCTTTTTACAGACCACCCCTTCCTTCCCTCACACCTCTCTGGCCCCTTACCTGACTCTCTCCTCTTCGGCCCTCTTCAGGGCAGCATCCCGCTGCAGAACCTTCAGGATGGCCTCTTGTTCCTCATCGGTCAGGAAGCTTAAGTCAATCATTTTGAAAAGTGTACACAAAAATAATAGCAACAAACTGTAGCTTAAAATTCTCAGGGTTAAACAACTAAGAGTGCAACCAGGAAGATTAGAAGATGCAAAATGAAATGAAATAATATCTCATTCCGTTCTGCAGCAAAAGTCTTGTTCAGGCTAAGCAAAAGTTTTGGGTGGCCGACAGCAAAATCCTAAGCGCCCTTTCCCATGAGGAAGTCCTGGTCCGTGGGATGACGTTGAGAAGAGGCTCTCAGAAGGATGCTGCATTCCTTGCCAGACAGGTCACTTGTTCCTCCAGTGGCACTCCTAGCACATGCTGTCCTTGGCCCAGTCTAAAATACAGTTCATTCTCTCTCCACCCTTGTCAGCTCAATGAGAGGCAGCAGCATCAGAGCATCATCAACCTGAGGAATCAAGAGACAGCAAACACCAGGCAGTGAGAGGCAGTTCTTATAAGCGTTGTCCATTATTACAAGATTTTTAAATGACCATGTGAGATGGTCTCTGAGATCGGGGAAACCAGTTCTGCAGGCTTCCTGAGCAAATGGTAAATGGGTCATGAAACATGCCTCAACCCAATTTCAGACCGCCAAGATGGAGAGCATGCAAAAATGCCTGTCAATGTTTAACAAGCCACCTGAGAAAAGGATGGTTGCAAAAAGGAACAGGTTCTTTTTCTGAAAACTCCTGGAATGCTTAGGCTAAAAAGTCATGCTAAGACCAGAAGGATGTGATTCCAGTTGTCAAGTGACTATGGATAAGAAAACAGAAATAGAAATGTGAAGTGCACACCTCTTCACAAGTAGAAACATTCTACTGGAGCACAGATGTACTTCTACTGGAGTACATCTGTGCTCTGAAATGACAGGAGGACTCGTTTTAGGTAGAGGTGCTTTGCAGAATAGTGGGAATTGTTACTCTTCACCCCGTCCCCCCGCCCAGCTTTGCTGGGCCTGGAGGAACCTACTAAGCTTGTCTTCCTTCATTTCAGAGGGGAAAGAACAGTCACTCGTGTGTGTATATAAACTGGGGGAAAGGAAGTGGCAAAATTTCAAAACACCCCACCACCCAAAGTGAGCTTTTTTGAGCAGCACCGTGGGCGAGAATCCTATTTTCTTTGAGTCATCTTAAACACATGTGTAATGGGAAGGAGGTGAGACATGAAGAATGCCACAGCCAGATGGGACTTCAGAGACTGTCTATGCATGGTTGAGGCCCTTTTAACAAGTGCAGGGCTGCACATACCATAGATACTAAAACCACGTGTTTAGTACATTTTAAAACAACCACAATTAAGAATAAAATAGAGTGTGTACACTAGTGAGTGGATTATATGAATAAATTCCTTGCCAAATAGAACTACTGGGAAGTGCTCCCTCCCCCACTTGCAGGCTATAAGCCAGTACATTTTAAAACAACCACAATTAAGAATAAAATAGAGTGTGTACACTAGTGAGTGGATTTTATGAATAAATTCCTTGCCAAATAGAACTACTGGGAAATGCTCCCTCCCCCACTTGCAGGCTATAAGCCATCAGGCAAGTTGCCTGCTGTGCTGAGGCTCACCTGTTTTCTTACCTGTGCTTCCTTGACATTAGGACATGCCTCATAGGTAGTAAGGATTAAATGAAATAGTGAATATAAAACAGTGCATACCTTGCATCCTGTACCAAAAATAACTACCAAAAATATATCTAGCTTCCTTTCTGAGTTCACACTTTTGTTCCATCCAGCTGAGTAAGATTATACTTAGTTATATATTTTCCTTTTCTCTTACGTATTATGTCTCTTTCTGATCTCCGTTAAGTACAAACTTTGTAATCTGATGACCTTTATTTTCCTGTAGTTCTTTGTATATTGCCCAAGTGACTACTTAAATAAATATGAAGAAACTACTTCATTTTCTTTTTAAAATCTGAATGCACTTACATATGTTACTACCTGCTTGTTCATCCTGAAAACTATTCATCCTTCGAGATGGTTACCACCTCCTCGAAGCCTTCCCCAACTTCCATAGCCAGAGTTAAATGCTGCAATAGATTCAACTATTCCTAACTCTTCACTTCTTCCCTGTAACAGAACTATACGACCAAGGTCCCACTAGAGTAAGCAGAGTATTCACCCTCCTTATGTTGGGCTCTGACTTGCTTTGGCTAAGGGAATGTTAGCACATGTGACCCAAGCATAGGCTGTGAATGTGCTTGTGTTGCTTGAGTTGGCTTCTTGTACTCCTGTCATGTGCCACTAGAAGAGCTTCCCCTAGGTACCCGTTGCCTCTTCAATCTGGGTCCCAGAAAGAGAGATACAAGAACAGACCTGAACCTGATCACCTGCAGCGGGGCACCCCAGCTGACCTAGACATGAAAACAACAAATACTTATTTGTTGTTGTAAGCCACTGAGGTTTGGGGGTTGTCATGCAACATTTCTGCAGCAGGAACTTGACCAATACAAAAGCTTTCTCCTCCATACACACGGCTGTAATTGACCTCTCTTAGTTTCTCCTACTTGACTGTCAGTCTCTGAATGTGAATAAATAAAATGAATAAATGAATGAATGAACCTAATCCAAATATACAACACCACCAAGAGATGGCTACATCAATTTTTTCTTTTCTTTCATGCACAGTAACTTCCTTAGACCTCAAAGGCTGGCAAGAAATAGATTTAGGCCACATTCTGGAACCTGCGTCCCTCGTGAGGCCTTACACTGCCATCTGGTTCAATGGGAGATTGTTTTTAAGTTCAACGCATAGGGGGACAGGAAGAGAACAAAGGAGAAAACAACTGAAGTTGTCTGGCAGTAGTAATCAGCAGGGTTGCTAAGGGGGAAATGTTGGTTTCCACACCTTCAAGCATAACTACAAGGTGTGATTCTGTGTAAAAGCTTCTAAGGGTTAACAGTCCTCTGGCAAAGGACAATGTTCTCCCTTTACAGATAAAGGAATGAAAAGTTAGAACCCTTTTTCCCTAATTGGGTTGCCAAGAGTCAGCACCCAGTTAGATCACAGGAGAGCCCTTAGAGGGCAATCAAGACTCTTCAGTACTAGGCACTCGCCCAACTCCCAATATTCTGGATGCTGTCTAGCATGAGAGCTAATTGAACATTTCATTCATTTATTTGACAACTATTTATTGAGAGCTTGTCACTTTTCTAAGCCTTGGAGATGTAGCAGCAATGAGTAAGACAAAAAAACACTTCCTACGTTCATGGAGCTTACATGCCAATAGGAAGAAATAATAATCAAACTAAATAACAAAAAATAAAGTAATTTTTAAAAAATTAAATTACATAACATGTTGGAAGGTAATAAAAGCTATAGAGGAAACAAAGTAGAGAAAAGAGGAGAATAATAATGTGCGAGGAGTTGGGTTTTAAAGACAGTAGTTACGGGCCGGCCCGGTGGCGCACTGCTACAGTGCGCCGCTTGGGAAGCGCGGTGGCGCTCCCGCTGAGGGTTCGGATCCCACATACAGACTGGTTCCCGCTCACTGGCTGAGCGAGGCATGGGAGCAACACCGAGGGTTGCGATCCCGTTGCTGGTCCCGGTCCGGTACGGGTGCGACACTGAGGGTTGCGGTCCGTTGCCGGACATGAAAAAAAAAGACAGTAGTTAGGGTAGGTCTCATGGAGAAGGTGACATTTGAATGAAAAGTTTAGAGATCAGGAAACAAGCCACGCAGATATCTGAGGGTCCTGAGGTGGAAGTTGTCTGGCCTGGTCAAGAAACAGCGAGCAGGCCAGTGCTGGCACATCAGAGTGCACCAGGAGAACAGAAAGGAAATGGGTCAGACTTATTAGGCTTTGTAAGGACTGTAAAATTTCTAGCTTTTACTCTGAAATGGAGCAGCATTAAGGAAGAGCAGACGAAAAGAAACAGGAATAAATGTTTACTGCATACCTCCTACATGCCTGGCACTTTATGTACATCATCTCATAGGATCCTCAAAAAAACATCCCGAGGTAGGTTTTATTATTTGTGTTTTTCAGATGAGGAGAGTGAGGCTCAGGGAGATGTTCACCACCAAGTTTGCGTGCTAGGACTGGCACTGGCCCATGGTTTTGTCAGAATAAGCCATCCTGATGTTGACATCTCATTTAATTCTCCCCTCCACACAGATTCCTCAAACCAAGGAGGCAGAACAAAACTCCTCTGTCTGTGGACCCTCATTCTCTGCTTAAGCATAAAAGAATCACTGGCCCACAGCTGGCAGTCAGCACAGGGCAACTTCAGTGCTAACTTGTGAGGGATGAATTTTGTCTACAGTGTCCTGCATTCTCACCAGAGCCCCACAATAATCTCCAAAAGGAAGGGAGAGTGGGAGTGAATACACCCATTATTCATAGGGATTACTGATGTGTTCACAGAAGGAGTAGCTCCTGAGGCAAGCAAAAAGTTCTCCTTGGGTTCAGCCTCCCCACTCATCCTCCACAAGCTGCTGAGTGATTTTTTTAACCTCAGATCTGACCAAGCCACATTCCCAGGCTTAAAACCCTTCACCAGTTTCCCACTGCCCACTGGCTAAAGCCCAAAATCCTTAATGTGATCTGTAAGACTCTACATGAACCAGCACCTGCTTTCCTCTCCAAGCTCTCTTCCTTAGGCTCCAGCCATTCTGAACTTTTCCATGTCTTTTTGCCTTCAAGCCTTTGCATATTGTTTCTTTTTCTTGGTAACACCCTTTCTCAGGTTAGTTCCTTTTGGCTCTCAAGTTATATGTCACTTACTGCACAGAAGTCTTCCCTAGCCCCTCCAGGCCAGCTTAGGTCCAGCACCTGCTTTCCTCTCCAAGCTCTCTTCCTTAGGCTCCAGCCATTCTGAACTTTTCCAGGTCTTTTTGCCTTCAAGCCTTTGCATATTGTTTCTTTTTCTTGGTAACACCCTTTCTCAGGTTAGTTCCCTTTGGCTCTCAAGTTATATGTCACTTACTGCACAGAAGTCTTCCCTAGCCCCTCCAGGCCAGCTTAGGTGCCCCTCCAGGCCAGCTTAGGTGCCCCTCCAGGCCAGCTTAGGTGCCCCTCCAGGCCAGCTTAGGTGCCCCTCCAGGCCAGCTTAGGTGCCCCTCCAGGCCAGCTTAGGTGCCCCTCCAGGCCAGCTTAGGTGCCCCTCCAGGCCAGCTTAGGTGCCCCTCCAGGCCAGCTTAGGTGCCCCTCCAGGCCAGCTTAGGTGCCCCTCCAGGCCAGCTTAGGTGCCCCTCCAGGCCAGCTTAGGTGCCCCTCCAGGCCAGCTTAGGTGCCCCTCCAGGCCAGCTTAGGTGCCCCTCCAGGCCAGCTTAGGTGCCCCTCCAGGCCAGCTTAGGTGCC